GTTACAACAGAAGTTATCTCTTTGAAGCAAAAATCTTGATTATTACGAAGCGATATCTGCTCGTCAACGCACAAATTTCTATTTTAATTTTAATTACTTTAAATGTCCACGAAAACTTCACGTCGTCTATAGTTGCGGTTAATTTATTTTAAAATATATAAATAGTGTAGTAAAAATAAGAATTAGCTAATATCAATCTTGTCTTATTTGAAATCGCTGTTTTTTTTTTTTTAATAGAACAAAGTCTACTAATCTTAATAAAATGATTTACAAACAACATCTTTATATATATAATAAACTTATCCTAGGTTGTAAATTTATCTTTCGAATTTTGTACTAATTGAAACTTCTGTTTTCTTATTGAACAAAATCTTAGTTATACTTACTAATTAATTAATTGAATCCCCTTATAATATTATAAATGTGAAAATTTGTTTATTTGTCACATTTTAGATCCTTAACGATACAATCACAAGTACTATATGAAATAGAAAAGGACATAGGCTAGGTACTGTATACTCGTATCTCGGTCAAGCAACGTATCCTAGGCACCCGGACAAAGTGACAGGTAAAGCTAATTATTAATAAAACACAAACTACATATAATCAAACATTTCTTATTTAATAATGATATAACGCTACAGGACTGTACACATAATAATTCATCTGAGATTTATTTATATATTTATGTATGTATACACAGTAAATATCAACTAAATGAAAGAAATAAAACAATTAAATATACTTATTAAAAAAAAACACATAAATAAGTTTTAGTTTCCAACAGCTAATGTAAACTAAATACGAATAATAATACAGCTTAAAAATGGAGGTCAGCATATAAATCCACGTTTCGTTTTCTGTGATTATGCGGGTCTGAGCAAGATTGATGACGGCCACCAGGAACGGACGCTGGTCCGACTTAACCCACCAAATCCGGTAGATTATGAGGAATAAATAGCAATTCATGCTTGTCCACCGTCACTTTCACTTATACAACTTATATATAGCTTATTTGTTATCTATAAATAATAATAACAATCTAAATCCATCTCTGTTGGAATAGATTCGTCGTAACGTTGTCTCATTTTAGGAATTCTTACATATACTTACTAATTTTTATTTGAAATGTGACATGATCGAGAAAGTCCTTAACTTGATTAAAAAAATATGTTCAATCATTTGTATTGTTTAATGAAGCAGAAAAAAGAGTTAAGGATAAAAAACAAATGCATGATATTTTCAATTTAATACTTATAATTTTTGTAACAAAAATGTGTACTATTACACGTGTAATAGCCCCTTAAAAGACATAATGATGTAAAAAAGAACAAACCATAGATAATTTGTAACATGAATATCCCTAATCTTCGAGCGTTGTAGGTTTATTTTTTTATTCAATTGACACAGATAAGGTTTTTCAATTATCAGCATCCCAACGCATATAATCTTTATTCTTTACAAGTTCAAGGTTTTTCTAAAACTAAGGATACGCACATCATTAATGTGAGATTCACATTAATGATGTACTTATTCAGACTGATTCGAATCGAGAGATACTCATACAGAATATTCGAATACAAGTTGTATGTATATCATAAGTTTTTATGTGTATGTTTCACATTATGTGTGTATATCATTGAAAGAAAAATGAACAAATAACTATATTTTTAATAAAAATAAGTATAAAAAATCTATTAAAAAGATATTCGAGCTTAATGAAATAATCGAATACTCATACTCGAGTCGAACTCGAATACATGTCTGAGTACTCAAAGTCGAATACTAAAATACTCGAATACACTAGTTCACATATCGCAAGAAAGGGGTAGGGATTACATGGGCTCACGTAAGCCTTATGAACGTTCCTTTAAATCGTTGTTATTTAGCAACGCGCCGCCAAGCTCCCTTAATTAAGGAATTCCCTAACTTTTCTTGACATCGCAGCCGGGCGTATGTTGGGTACACGCAGATAGATTGTTTGGACATTCAATAGGCAGAACCGGATTTGGACGGATTTATGTGAACTTTGTTAAGATAAGTTCAACGGTTTAGCTACGTACGTACGTACTATGGAATTATTTACACCGTCCGAAACTCATTTTAACTTAATCAGATTTTCTTACATGTACTTTTGTTGAGAATACTAACTCTGAACTGTCCAAGATCCTTATGCATTGCGATGGCACGAATCTAACACAGTTTTCACATCATCTCATTTGTATACTGAGTGAAAATAGAATGAAAACTCGCTTGCGTTATTGGTTTACGCTTGCGGAGTATAAAGGTGAGGAACAAATCAAGTTATTTATTCTAGTACCTTGACAAATTCACCAGGAATTAACTACAATGATATCCACTGTGGACGCTATGGAAGTCAACAGTGTGTATTAGATACTATCAATAAGGTCAAAAGATTTCAAAACATTTATATATCACCTCAATATTATCTCATTTAGCTTGCGCAAGGAGTAACAATTTGCGAAGTTTCCATAGTCAAGATTCCTTACATAAAATAATGAAAATATTTTCTAAGCAACAAACGCTCATGTTATGAGCTCTCTGTCGAGCTTTTTCCAAGAGACTACAGCATGGGATTCTTCAAAAAAAGGGTAATGCCTCTGGTATTGCTAGCATTCATAGACTATGGTAACCGCTTACCATCACATGGACTGTATGCTTGTTTACCACCTTAGTACTATGACAAAGCAACGTTAAATTGAAGATCATAAGAAGATCAGAACAGTTAAAATAGCCACTTAATATAAATCATTTAATACATTTAATTTTATTTTAATATTTCCAGTCTAACAGTAACATAGCTCACAATGATGACACTATTAACAGGCAGACAGTATCACCGGCGAAGTATACGGAATAATTCGTATGATTCTACAGAGTAAAGCGACTGCTTTATCCCTTTAGTAAATTGAAATGCCCAACGTCCGTCCGTAGCTTTTAGTCTCCGTATTCAGAAAAATAAAAACAAGAAAGAAATGAAAATAGGTTAAGCGCCCCCTGGAGACCGAAGGGTCTCAGATCGGTTTCTGTACCGAAGGCGCTAGTTTGTAATGCGGCTCCTAATAAAAATTCTCCTATACGCACCACTAGAGGAAAATTAAACGAGTATACAATGTTTTTAGACTTTTACACTTAAAAATACATGTTTCACATAAAGAATCTATCTAAACTAATATTAAGTACAAAGAAGAAAGATTTGATTCTTTGTATATAATGAACACGATACGATCAACTTAAAAAATCATTCCTATATTCATCCAATCATTATATCAGTCATTAACTGTCCACTGCCGAACATAGGCCTCCCTCTTGGGCAGTTTTGCCAGTAGGCACCACGCTTGGCAAGCGGGTTAGCCAACCCCTTAATCATTGAATTCTCTTAGTCATCTCTTACGAAATCCACGAGGAAGGAAGAGGTGGCCCATTCTATATCTAATCTAATAGAATTAACCACAATAAGCCAACTCTAACCTACTAGGGATAGCTAACGATATTATTATTACAATCAGGGCCTTGGCTTTTCTTGCTGACCGTACCCAAGCATCATTGCACATTTATATTGTGATACCTATATTAAGTTATGTCGCTAATCGTAGCTATGCATCATTATATATTTATAGTGATGCTTTATAAATGTATAATGATTTATTTTGAGATCTATATTGAGTTTTGTTGCTGACCGTAACTAACCATATTTATACATGTATATTTCGAGACCTACACTGAGTTTTGTAGCTGACCGTACCTAAGTATCGTTATAAATGTATGTACATTATAAAACCTAAATTGATTTTTTTGCTGACCGTACCTAAACATCATTGTACATGTATATTATGAGATGTATGTTAAGTTTTGTTGCCGACCGTATCCAAACATCATTGCAAATGTATATTGTGAGAGCTATATTGAGACTGGTCCAATCAGTAATCTATCAGCCAGCTCCAATAGTGAATTAGGTCCCTACGTAGTTGCAAATTAAGCTCATAACAAATACTATCGGAAACCTGGGATTGCATAAAGGGATTTATCAAGAGACTTGAATGAGAAACTATAGAATATATAATCCCTCTCCTTTAAGTACTATTTTCAATCAACGTCAAAAATCAATCAGTAGTTTGAATTTTTATTGTTTAACTATATTTACAAATTGGTTTTTCTAATCTTTAAATACCATCTTCAAATACCACATTTCCAATATTTTTTTTTTCAATATCAATTCAGTAGTTCAGTTTATATATATATATATATATATATATATATATATATATATATATATATATATATATATATATATATATATATATATATATATATATATATATATAAAATTCTCGTGTCACGGTGTTTGTTACCAAACTCTTCCGAAACGGCTTTACCGATTTTTATGAAATTTTGTGTGCATATTGGGTAGGTCTGAGAATCAGCCAACATCTATTAATCATACGCCTCAATGATAAGGGTGCTCCACCCCTAAATGTTTTTTTATTTTTTTTGACAAATTTTTTATTTTTAATTTATTAAGATTTAGCATTGAAAAATACATACAACTTCAAATTTTCACTCGTATTTACACTAGTATAGTATTATATTATCTGTGTTAGTACTAATGTTGTTCGTACACTCGTGCACTTTAGCTGCCCACTAACGACATGCTTTCCCACTGTGTTAGGTTGACTGGAAGAGATCTCTTTCAGAGATAAGTCCACCCTTGCTCACAATATTTATAAATATATTATCTATGTAATTTACAAGTGCAATAAAGAACATATATACGAGGGCTAGACTGAAAAATTTCAGAACTGGCTACTTTAAAGCAATATAATAAAAAAAAATTCTTAAAATTTTGAAAATAGAACTCTACGAATAATACTGGATATATAATTTATTCATTTGCCATTTGTTTTACGGTTTAACGGCAAATTGAAAATAGTCTGTGTAACGTTATCGTTAAGTTCATAATACGAGAAAATTTTCATGCGATGATATTTTATGACTTTCGAGGTCATTTAAGTCAACAAGAAAGTTATGATAGATTGGCGTTTTACGATGAAGCCTGGTCTCGTGCCACTGTTTACAACTGGTTTAATGAGTTTAAACGTGGTCGCACTAATTTCACCGATGATGTGCATGAGGGACGGCCTTCTACGGCGACGACTGAAGATAACATCAGTGTTGTGCGACGTATGATAGAAACTGACAAAAGAGTGACCTATCAGCAGATCCGGGCAAGCTTAGGGATTGGTATGAGTCAAGTGCACAAAATCTTCCATGAACATTTGGCGGTCAAGAAGCTTTGTGCCCCGTGGATACCTCATAATTTGAACGAGGCTCAAAAACTCCGTCGTGTTGATTGGTGCCGTGAAATGCATAAAAGATTTAACGGAGGTGGCTCAAATTCTGTGTTTGACATAATTACAGAAGACGAAAGCTGGATTTACTGTTATGATCCCTAAACTAAAAGACAGTCAGCTCAGTGGGTGTTTCCTTCCGAGGAGTTGCCAACTAAAGTGAAGAGAAGTTGAAGCGTGGGAAAAAAGATGGTGGCCTCGTTCTTTGGAAGGACAGGTCATTACGCAACAATTGTTTTAGAGGATTGAAAAATAGTTACTGCAAAGTGGTAGAGGTAAAATAAAATAAAGGCAAAAACTTGCTAATTTAATCAGTTTTTGATTTTCTAAGGACTTTCAGTTTGAACCTCGTATTACGTACTTTAGGGCAGTATACATACTGTTATTTTTTAATTTGTCAGTTTCATTCGCTAACCGTATACCTACTCACACAGTCGTATATTAAAAACTAGTAGTTGTATTTGTATTTATATATGTAAATATATATATCTATCTACAACAGAATCCGTAGAATCAGATTGCTAGACGTAAACCTATATAACTTTGTTAACTCGTTACAGTTACAGAAACTAGAACAGTACAAATATGCGAAATCCTCTGAATAGGTAACCTGGCATTGAATGAATAAGCAAATTGGATTTTCCAATCTCTCCCGAGCTTTTACAGCTTAGGTATACCTAATACCTACTTGCAAGTCCGTAGACACATGTGATATGACATGCTCGCACGAGGTTGACGTGTTGTGACATTGCTGTTTTTATTTGCGTGTGCACTTAAACCTCAGGGACGCACTTTTTTTTCAATGGATGATTATCGAATAATAACGCCTGCGCTAACGGTATACACTGGCTGCACTCCAGTGAGGGGCGTTAGGTGAAAATTGAAAAGGCAGGTCAGTTAGCCCATCGTGATAATTACACTTGGATTTCAACACGATGATTTCCAGGGGGGACCACGTGGAGGTCGACCTGATAGGATATATTGATAGCAATGGAACTGATAATCCGCATTAATAACAATCCCTTTCCCTCCTCTCAGGGACGTATTGATAATTTTATTTATGTTTGATATAATGAAGCATGAGCACTTGCGCCAAGCAATAAAAAAACACGTATTGAAATACACTTATACTTTTATTATATTTATCTATTACAATTTCCTCAGCCATATATATTACTTGTTACAAAAACCCCAGAGAGAATCATGCAGCGCCCTCTCGCTTACTCTACTGTCACTTCTCTTCCGTTGTCTATGTGTAATGTTGCAATTGTTAAAATAATAATTGTGGAGGCTGGAGATACCAAACAATTAAACTCAACACTCTTCCTCAGCTTCCACCATTATTATTCCCAACTTACATATCAACTCAATTAAATGACATTTGCCAACAGGTTTAGTAAATATATCTGCCAATTGATATTGAGATCTTATATACTCTACTTTAACTACCCCTTGCTCTACTTTAGATTTAATAAAATTATACTTAATTTCCAAATGTTTTAACTTTCGCTGATCATAAGTCTGAACTGATTTTATAGTACTCTGGTTGTCTTCATATATTTTAAAGTTATCAATTACAATATTTAAATCCTTTAACAATTTTATAATCCAACAGGATTCTACACAAGCTTCACAAAGAGAAATCAATTCAGCTTCAGTAGTGCTTAGGGCAACAACGGATTGTTTTTTAGACTTCCAAATTACAGTATTTCCATATATCTTAAATATATAACCAGTAGTAGATTTTCGATCGACATCTCTACCCCAATCTGCATCAGCAAAACCAAACAAAGGAATATCACAATTATTTTTAAAAATTAAATTATAGTTAATAGTTTGCTTTACATATCTTAGAATTCTTTTTAATGCCTTCCATAACATTTCATTTGGTTTTGACTGAAATCTACTTAAATAATACACAGAATAAGCTAAATCAGGTCTAGAATTAACAGTTACATACATAAGTGAACCAATTAAAGATCTACATTGTTTTTCATATGACATATCAATATTATTATCATCTAACTTAAAATTAGGGTCCATAGGGGTATCTGAACCTTTACACTCATTCATACCATATTTTTTAAGAATAGTTTGTAAGTATTTTGACTGGTTAATAAAAATAGAATCATTTTGTCTTTTAATGGAAATCCCTAAATATGTCAAATCCTCACTACCTAAATCCTTCATCCTAAATTGTGTCATTAAAAATTTCTTTACTTTATTCATCTCTATCATGTCCTTTCCAAAAATCAACAAGTCGTCAACATACAGTAGTATATATAGGTCCTTTTTGATATATAAACAGTAGTCATTCTCACTTCTCACAAACCCATAGTCAGTCATTGCTTTGGTAAATCTGTCATACCAATTTTTTGGTGATTTCTTTAGTCCATACAGTGATTTTTCCAATTTTAATACATATTTATCTCTTTCTTGTGTTTCACATCCTTTTGGTAATTTTAAATACACCAGTTCTTCAATTTTTCCATAAAGAAAAGCTCCTTTGACATCCATTTGATTTATTTTATAATTCCTTTTTAATGCTATTGACAATAATATCCTTAATGTTTGCATCTTTACCACCGGAGAGTACACATCTTCTATTTGGTCTTTTTGTTGATATCCTAAAACAACAAGTCTTGCTTTACATAACTCTTTATTTCCTATTTCCTTCTTCGAGAATACCCATTTGGTGTCCAATATTTTCATTCCATCTTTCCTTGGTATTTTATTCCATGTATGACTTTCTTCTAAAACATTTAGCTCTTCCTTAATTGCATTTTTCCATAATTCTCTATCTTTTCTGTTATTTATTTCCTCAAAACTTTTAGGTGCATCTTCTGTCAATCCGCTATATAGTGCAAATAGAACATCATCCTCATTTTCTAAATCCATCTCATAATCCTTTTGCCATTGAGGTTTCTGTATTTTCCTTTTTACTCTTTCTATTCCTTGACTTTCCCTTTCTTGTCTTTCTTTAGAATTCCCTTGTCCGTGATTGTTATAATTTCTTCTATTTCTCATTGTTAATTCTTCATTTCTATTTTCCTCTTCTATCTGATCATTTATTTCTTCCTTCTGTATTTCCACATCATCAAAAAACTGTTCTTGTCTTTGTGTATTTTCTTCTGTGTGTGTTTCCTTTTTTCCAGGTTGGAACTTCATATTTTCATCATCGCTTGACAACGGTAAGTATACTTCCTTTTTTGTTCTAGCTCTCTCATCAAAGATAACATTTCTTGCACACACCACCTTGTTATTTTCTTCATCATACAGTTTATAACCCGATGTAACATAACCTAACATGATCATTTTCTTTCCAGGATTATCCAACTTTTGTCGCAGTTCTCTGGGTATATAATTATAAGCTATGCTGCCGAATACTCTCATTTTAGTGACATCTGGTTTCCGGCCTTCCCATAATTCGCTTGGAGTTTTATTTTTATTAATGGTTGGACTTCTATTTGTTACATAAGCTGCATACAGCACGGCATCACCCCAAAACTCTTTTCCTAATTTTGAATCTGATAATATAGTTCTAGCTTTATCCAGTAAAGTCCTGTTCATACGTTCAGCGACACCATTCATTTCAGGATTATAGGGGACTGTGTATTCCATTTTAATTCCTTTCACTGTACAAAATTTTCTAAATTGTTCTGACATATATTCACCACCATTGTCAGATCGTAATTTTAATATTTTCCTATTAAAATGATTTGTAACATAGTAATAATATTCTTTGAATTTTTCAAAAACTTCAGATTTATGAGTAATTAAATAAACCATAACAAAATGAGTGAAATCATCTATGAATGTTACAAAATATCTATGGTTGTTACGAGAAGGAGTGTTAAAAGGTCCACATACATCAGTATGAATTCATTCTAATGGCCTACTTGCTCTATGACCAACCTTATTGAAAGACTGTCTAGTTATTTTACCAATTAAACAATGTTCACATAATGTATTTTGAATTTTATCACATTTTAAATCATTCAAACCATATACTAAATTATTTTTAACCAAAATATTTAAATTATTCACACCTAAATGACCGAAACGCCTGTGCCATAAAGTTACTAATTCACTATTATTGTTAGATGAAGAATTATTACAACTTGACTGATCAATATGCATCTGGACTGTAAACAATGATACATCTTTATTTCCAATCAATAATAAGTTGTTATTTTTGAATACTCTGACTTTGCCATTAGAGAAAGATACCATTAAGCCACAACTTTCCATTTTTGAAACAGATAACAAATTAATTCGCAAATCAGGCACATAATATACATTTTGTAAAGTACACTTATTAAATCTGTTACCAACACGACAAGTTACCTTTATGTTTCCAATACCAACCGCTTGCAACATAATTCCATTCTTGGCTGCTGCAATATTTTTAGGTTCACTCAACTCAATGTAATCTGAAAAATAATTCCTATTATTGATCAAATGGTCTGTACACCCTGAATCTATACAAAACACTATACTGTTTTTATTTGTCTCACAGTTTAAACTTATTTTATTATCACAACTTTCACTACAAAATATGTTAGACTCTTCCTGATGAATATAATGTCCTTGACTTTGATAACCATGATGCTGTCTGGTTGTCCCTCGACCACGTATATGTCCTTGTCCTTGGAAACGTCCACCTCCATAATTAGATACTCCTCGTCCTCCTCTATAAGCCTTCATGTTGAAGTTTGACCTTTGAACTTGATTATTCTGATACATTTTACAGTTATATTGTTTGTGACCAGGTCGTCCACACTTGAAACAATTGAATGCTGAAGGAAACTGTTCATTGTCCACCTGTTTTTTACCTTTTTTCCTTTTTTCTTCCTCGCCTAGTAGCCTTTCCTTGACGAAATTTATTTTTAACTCGGGCATGGTCTCTAATGTTGTTATTATCACATCATATGATTTGGGCATGGATAGTAATATGTAGTTAATTTTTTCTTCTTCTGTTAAATCTGATCCTGCATTTCGCAATTGAATAAATATTTCTTCTAGTTGAGTGAGGTGAGTTTGCAATTTCTCCTTTTCATTATATTTTATATCTGACAACTGTCTACGTAAAAACATGCGGCTTC